CCCCCCCTACATTTGTCCATAAACCTGACTACTCTTAACCCTACCTGGCCCTTTGATTTTCATGTTTACACCCCGGCCCCCTTCCCCCATTTCAACAAACAAAAACATATTGTTGACCAACCCTCTTAAACATTCCAGCCAGGTCCCCCTCTCAAAAATATTATTCAAATTGTTTTTAATTTTTAAATTCATACCTCTACCCCCATTTTAGTATTCCAATATCTTCCTATTAATTCAATGTCAGTCTAGACTTGCATACTTACTATTTGCTTACTTAGCAGGCTTCATCTTATACTCAAATTTACAGAATTCTTTTTATAATGAAAACAAATTTTATCATCAAAATGGACATACAAATTTTCCAAAAATTATCATTAAATTTTATTAAAAAATTTTAATTTTCAGGCGGTCAAACAACGACGCCGACGACAGATTTCCAGCCCGACCGGCCGATTGGTTACGGGGCATTTGGGGTCGTCTGGTCGGTGACCGATCCAAGGGATGGAAAACGAGTGGCGCTTAAAAAACTACCAAATGTGTTTCAGAGTCTTGTCAGTTCAAAAAGGTTGGATAAACATTAAACAACATTGATGATAATAATTAATAATGGAAAATTAAATTTTAAACGAGAGTGGAGTGTTTAAACATGTTTGATGATTTTCTTTTTTACAGGGTGTTCAGAGAGCTAAAGATGATGAGGTTTTTCAAACATGAAAACGTTCTTTCCTGTCTGGATATTCTTCAGGTTGGTCAAAACAAAGGAACTGATAACAAAGGATCACAAAGTAAAGTTTAAAATGACCTAGCCTCGCCCTCATAAACGATTTTGTGAAGTTTGCTGACATGCGTTGATCTCTTTTAATTTGCGTATATCATCTAATTAATATTTATCTTGTGGAATGATTTAAATTACTAGTTCTGCAACTTTCCATCTAGACGTACAATAGGTCAGAACAACTAAATACAATCCCTTAATTTTCTTATATAATCTGTGTTTGTATGTCTGTTTGTTTGTCCGATCCTAACTCAGGAACCCCTAGACCGATTTGTCTCAAATTTTGATTAAGGATATCGGGAGACCTACGCGAATATTCTTAGCTTGTTTTTGAGTGGGTCGACTTTAATACCGAAAATATAGTTCTCCGGTTAAATCGTCTAAGTGTGGGTAAACGGTAAAATAACTGAGTACCCTGGGCAACGCTGGGTTTCCAAGCTAGTGAATTAATAAAGTAGAAATTCAAAAAAGCACTGAAGTGAAAGGGTTACGTCTAATACCAGAACAAGTTCATAAACATTCCAGAGATCCACTCTTATTAAAAATAACTCCGTAAAATTACTCAAAAGCAATTTTTTCTAGCGATTGAAGTTGCTTAAATTAAACTAGGCTACTAGGGAACTTCGCGCCAATCTTATATTTAATTTTTTAAATGTGGCTCTATCTGTGAGCATCTCATCTTTGTAGTTCGCGGATTTTATAATTTTTTTTGTGCATTTTTACAATTTAACAAAAAGAAAAACTTTTGGACACACAATTTTGTAACTTTAAGCATCCCAAAACCTTCCCTGGGTTCATGTAAGGTTCCACTTCCACATAAAATTTGGGCCCGATCGGTTCAGCCGTTTTGACGTTATTGGATACAAACGGACAGACAAATAAACAAACAGGCAAGCAAAGTCCATAAATTAAATATCTCAAAAGAATGGAAAAGAATAGTTTAAATAGAACAATCATATTTATTGAAAGATTCGTCTTGATATGGAAATTTTAAGTTATTATTTGTTATGTCGTTTAATTCTTTGTTTAAAGGCGGACATGCAAAAATAAGGGTCTTTAATTTTGAGCCTGAAACTTAAGACGCAGTATCGTAATGAAACCCGGTTTTTATAAATGGGGTCATGCTGTTTTTTAGGTACTAATGTTTGTGTTAAGTAATATTTTATGTATTTTCTTTACTATTTCTTTTTTCTGATTTCTTAAATTAAAATCTACCCCATAAAGTTAGTCGAGAGTTTCGTTCAACGATATTCTCATAAATTTCCGGCTCACTGAAGTAACATTTGCATTACATTCACACATACTCAATTAAGACTACGCACAATTGTTTGTCTAAAATTACTTACACATACTCGTGTACATAAAGGGGTCCCCTGCACTTTAAAAAGATTCCCACATGTGTACCTTTAACTCTACCCCCGCCCCTCCCCCCTATTTTAAACCTCCGTATATACCAGTATTCCCCCAAGCGTAACATGAAGCAGCTGTATAGCGTAGAATAAATCAATACTGCGTTTTGTTTGAGCGTCGTAAGGGAGAATATTGTGAATCTCATTTAGTTCTACACGTAGTATTGTCATCTTCTGGGTTTCTTTAAACAAGCAACACAAACCGATTCAGTTCATGCAATGAAAATTAGTTTATACTTATCAAAATATCACCCCTTCTCTCTCCCTTCCGTTATGTATATTCGGTTTTTTTTTGTAAAAACTATTGATTTACCCGTTACTATTTAGTTGGAGGGGATTTTAAAAAATTGATCGGTTGCTCTGAGTAATCGGTAGTCGTATGGATTAGCCACGTTTTTGAATAGAAATTATATAACCAGACAATGAATCTGTGAAATTACTCATAATTGCAGGAGAAATATTTTCAGCATTTTATAATGTTAACGGATAAACGTGGTTTAAACATAGTTCTTAATTACAAACAATAAAGAAACGTGTTTTCTAGAAACCAAAATAATTTTACACGTTTTTTTGGATGGCAATCGTTATTGGAGATTGAAAATAATGATAAATGATTTAAAGAAAGGGCTTGGAGGCTACTTTATATTGTTCCTAATATTTAATTTCAAAATACAATAAACTCTTTTACATTTTACGTCTTATTTTTATATAAATTCTACATTTTCTACATTTACATACTGTGGAAGGGATACAAGTTAAAATATTTTTCGAAAGAAAAACGACATTCCAGTAATATTGTTTTTTTTTATATATAAATATGTTTTCACATTTATAATCTTATTTAAAAATATGTCTACGTCCATGTCTACGTTCAGTCTGTTTTCATAGATTAGTATTGTGGGGAAAGTGTCAAAAATATTAAGATTTGCCACACTTTCCGGGTGGATTATTACCCCCAGGGCTTATGAACGTCACACTGCATTGTAAGGAATTAAACAATTAAATAAATAAGATCAGGTCAGAACAGAACATGATCAATATCAGTCTGGAAAGGACTACCTTGGAAACATTGCTTTGCCTCAAGTTTAAGTATTGGGTAGGGGGTTGCAAGAAGATAAGCCAAAGTTTATTAAAAGATTAGCGAAAGATATAGATCTTATATTATTAAAGATTGTTACACTATGTTACAGTTTATGAACAGTTATATATTTTCAAGAAAACCTTAATGCAAATATATTTTATTTGGCACCATTTATCTGTTTTTAACTATTTAAATAAAACTTGTATTTTCTCCGCAAGATCATTTTTCTCTTAAAACAAGTAAAACTCGGCATTGTAAAACGTTACTTTTTATCCGTACGTATCAAGTATGATCATAAAAATCAGAAAATTATTCGTGTAAAACATAATCTATTTTATTTCAGCCTCCTCACCTGGACTTCTTTACAGAGATCTACTTGATTACAGAACTCATGCAGAGTGACCTTCATAAGATCATTGTCAGCCCACAACAGTTGTCAGCGGATCATATTAAGGTAATTGATCTTCATAAGATCATTGTCAGCCCACAACAGTTGTCAGCGGATCATATTAAGGTAATTGATCTTTATAAGATCATTGTCAGCCCACAACAGTTGTCAGCGGATCATATTAAGGTAATTGATCTTTATTATATCATTGATTCATATTAAGTGTCGAAGATGAGGATACCCAGACCCTGTAGAATGTATGTATTTGCTTAGCGGCTTTCATTTGAATTTACTCGCAATATTTTAAGAGTTCTAAGGGTGAAACATTTGTGTCATATGTGATTACACGGTTAGCCGGGTACCTTTCCCGTTGATGGTTAAATTTCAGACACAAGATAACTCAATAGTTCATCAATAGACAATTTCTCCCGATTGAAGGAGTTAATACTCAATTTTAAAGTTAGTTCACTATATATTGAGTTCAGTCACCGAAACTACCAGCAATATCACAAACTCTTTTGTAGAAGAAGAACGTAACCGAGATGTGTACCATTAAAAAGTTTTTTTAATCGACGTATTTCCGTAATGTTTGCTCATATTTAGATTTCAGGTTATCGTTGTCAATTATCAATGGCAATTTTTTAAGTTTAGACTCCTTGTTACGGTGACAATTTTTGCAAATACTTTCCGTCACTTGATATTTTTTTATCATTATTTTGTAAAGATGGTTTTCTGAAAGTTGAAACGAAAAATACTGATAAAACAAATTATCTTTTAGTTTGAAATTTCCGTGGAATTTTTATTTTTATTTTGAAATTTTAACATTCATGGATACAATTTTTAAATTAAATTTCCAAATCTGGCGACTAGAGCCTTATCATCAATTTAATTAAGAACATCCTCTAGCACACTGTTGAAAATGAACCATCAGGTTTCAAGTCAAAAAACCTAATAATGTTTTCGGAATATATTAATATGCAGGCTTATGAGTTATAATCTAAATTTTCAGAAAATGCCACCTAAGGAATTTTAATTAAATCCATTTAAAAGAAATTGTAGAAATCAAGTGCATTTTTAAGTCTAAACTCAATCGTAACTGTAGGTTCAAAGATTAATTAAGATTATTCTGTGTTTTTTTGCGATGTTTTTAGAATCGTTGATGGCAGGGTCCACAAACTTTGTGAATTTTCCTTAAGTCATGTCTTGGCAAAAAAAAATCAAAGCCTTAAGTGAACTGTATACTTGGCCAATTATACAGACTTTTTGAATCAGTAAAAATTACATTAAAAAAGCTTTTTCGGTCCGCATTTTAAAGCACAGATTAAAGTCTTGAAATGAAATTTTTGTTTAATTTATACCTGTGAATGCACATGATTTCTAAAATTTCTTAAAAATTGATTTGCTCAAGATTCCCTTGAAAATTGAGAATATATCTCAGTAGCCTTCATATAAACATAATCCAAAGAAAAAGTTTAGGTGTTTTAACTTGAAACCTGATGGTCTACTTTCAGCAGTGTGCTTTATAAATTAATTAAGAGTGCATTTTTAGTTTATAAACATTGTCATCGAAAATTAAAGATTTAAATAGTTTAAATTTCTCATCATAACTGCTATTATATATGTTTTTTGTTTAGGTATTTTTGTACCAAATTCTTCGTGGAGTGAAGTACCTACACTCGGCTAAGATTATACATCGAGATATAAAGCCGGGTAATCTTCTCGTCAATAGCAACTGTGTCCTCAAAATATGCGATTACGGGTTAGCGAGGTGAGTCAGCTTATTTACTGGTAAATTTCTTGGTTCTTTTTGTTTGTGTTTTTTTTTTAAATGTTATAATTCAATTAAAGAATTTGGTTAACAGGGGGGCTCAGCTAAAACAGCCCCAGGCTACTGAGTCCGCCTGCTGCGGAAAATAATATTTTACATATTGTGATTTTTAAAAATTAATTCGTAAATATTGTTTTTTTTTCTGAAGAAATAAATGTTTTGATTTGATTTGATTTGAAGTATTAACTAAAAAAACAGTTTTAATTATAAGGATGGTTGGTTGATTATTAAAGTATAATATTATATTTAAAAAAAAGTTTTTTGGAGTAGTCCCATTTACCTTAGTTCTTTTTTTGTTTGTGTTTTTTTTTAAATGTTATAATTCAATTAAAGAATTTGGTTAACAGGGGGGCTCAGCTAAAACAGCCCCAGGCTATTGAGTCCGCCTGCTGCGGAAAATAATATTTTACATATTGTGATTTTTAAAAATTAATTCGTAAATATTGTTTTTTTTTCTGAAGAAATAAATGATTTGATTTGATTTGATTTGAAGTATTATCTAAAAAAACAGTTTTAATTATAAGGATGGTTGGTTGATTATTAAAGTATAATATTATATTTTAAAAAAAGTTTTTTGAAGTAGTCCCATTTATTATTAATCTTGTAAAATTCCCAATGGCCCTGAAAGTTACTTTTCATAGGGATTATCTCGAGGTTGGATGGAAATGTGTTTGATTATCCAAATTAAATCCGATTGCTTTCACTAAAAAATGTACATCGGTGTTTTATTTCCATTCTTGAGAGATTTTAAAGGTCTGCTAATTTAAAAACCTTTTTTTACGAGGCTCACTTTCAAAACATTTTTTTTTGCCACAAGGGGAGGGAGGGTAATCATTTTTTTACGAATGCAATCATTCAAGATCAAATATAAGGGCTCAACCAGTTAATAAATATAAAGCTACTTTTAAATCTGGGGTTTCTGAAGCTGTTATTTCAAATCCTCCTCCATTCATAGAGGGACATACTCGATTCACAAACATTTCATCGACGACAGAGTAATCCATGTTTGTATCTCTAAAATTACGTTAAAATTACCGGAAGGCTGCAGAACTTGCTAGCGTACAGTGTAAATTCAAAAAGCTGACTACATGATTATTGAAATTTAGAACATTAGATATCCAAGGGGATTTTCAAAAATATTTTTTTTTTTGACTTCTAGAAAGGCGTTGTCAATATGATATGTCTGTAGATAACCAATAATAAATCCGCCATCCTTGGATCAGTTAAAGGTTTTAAGATACTGTTATATTAACAAACAAAAGGTGACTTGAAATTACGCGAACTGTCCCATTAATGTGTGTGTTATGGGGTTCAGTTTCAGATTTTTCTATCATTTCGTATTTAAGGCCAATTTTCTCTGTCAACTAGTCTGGGAACCCTGCTTTGTCTGGAAATTAAACTTTCTCTAAAATGTCAAATTACTTTAAATTTTCAAAACCACGCTAAGAACATCCCCACGGCTCTACTGATTTCCTTAATTAACATGTGAGGCAAATCGGTCCAGGGGTTCGTGAGTTATGATCGGACATCCAAACAAAGAAACAGAGATTACTTATGCCAGGCCTGAAACACCTTGAACTCGCAGGAACAAACTTTGACTAAATCCTTTTATTTACCTTTCAAGTCTCAATTATTCAAAAGATCATCAGAAACCCAGACACTCTTCATAGTCTTAGCGCCCGTTGCATTTTAAAAATTACGAAAATAGTTGAAAATAGTAGTTTATGATCTGATCTAAATTAACTAAGAATTGACCTTTGTAAAATGAGACTTCAGGACGGGGATGTCTACTGTCTAGACTTAAAATACGTCCATATTCTAGTCTATTTGATGCATCGTGTAAGTAATACAATCTATATAAAAGTATTAATCTCCGATCATAGCTCATGAACCCCTGGTAAATTTGGATTGGGGAACTCTGTAGAATGACTGAAGGTTGGTTTAATGTTCTAAGTTGAGAAAGTTGACGTTTGTAGAGAAATCTTCCAGGCAAAGCTGTTTTTCCGGAAAGCTCAAACAGAAAAATATACACCCGTGTATTATACTGGCTTGGGAACCCAGCTTTACTCGGAGTGTTATGTGTTTATTAAGTCTTAATCTAATTGTGAATATAGACACTGTTCTTGTCTATTTTGTCTATATCTGTCCATATTTTGTATATATTTTGTCCAATTTATTAATTTTATTCATCGTGTTGACTTCATCGGCCTAGATGTAGTGCAAGTTGATCAAGACAAAGACTTCCGTAATATTTTTACTTAGAACTGTAAATTAAAGTTTGTACTAGATTATTTAATCTGATTGAAATGTACACTGTCTGTCTGTGTGTTTGTGTCGAAATTGCAGAGGAAACCTGATTCTTGGCTCAGAAATCTGGTTTAAAGCTCATTTAAACCTGAGCGGGTATTAACTTGACTGCCTGAGACTCGACGACGGGAGGGGTGGGGGGAGTTGTGTCTGATAGTATGTAGCCTAAGGTAATCAGCTGGTCCAGTCTCAAATCAGCTGCGGCGAAAAATGCTAATGTTTTGGCGCCAAATCTAGAGGAAATCTTTTGTATCTTTGCAAAGTACGAATGATTCCATGATTTTGTCACGTATTCTTAGAACTAGAAGGACGTGTAAACTATACGTTTTATCAGACTTTTAGACAATGAGAACTTAAATAAATCTATGTAGAAATTATTACGTTCTGATATGTTTTTGCATCGATGCGCTAATTATGGTTTTTTTTCCAAGTTTGTCACCTTTAGTTCCGGTAGTAATGACTTTAACTGAAGGTCGCCGTTTTGAATCATGCACCCTTGCGTGCACACTTACAGAGCGCGTTTTCAAAGAATTATTAATTCAGGAAGTAAGCGATGTGATTAATATAACTATTTAACATGTGAAAATTATGGCGAAATATTAAAAAAAAAATGAAATCTTAAACACATAATTGGCATGAATGTGAAGTTTTGAATTACCCTATTTTTTCAGCAATTAAACTGTTCATTAATTTTTCTTATATTTGTGAAGGGTTGAAGAGAGGGACCCTAGCAGAGCTATGACACAGGAGGTGGTTACTCAGTACTATCGGCCTCCAGAGATACTTCTAGGTGCACGACATTATACAAACTCAGTCGATATCTGGTCCGTCGGCTGTATTTTCGGCGAATTGGTCGGCCGACGAATTCTATTTCAGGTAAGGATTTTAGTAACTTGTTAAATCCGGGTTCCCTTTGCATTTTTTTCATGCAACGAAAATTAACATATCGCTGGATCTTTTCCCCAAATTTCATTCTGTGGTTCATTTTTTCCATTCATTTAAGCTACCATTCCCTTGTATGCTGTAATTTTCTTTTGCCTAATTGTCCTGTGAATCTTAATTTATTTTAACATCCTGTTTAGGTTTCATTCATTTTATAAAGATTGATTCCTTACAATATTTATATTCTTTTTTATATATGACAATATATGTATTATGTACTGTACTGGAAGACATATTGAACAGATACTTCAGATTCTTAATCTTTAAAAAAATGGCCGGAAAAAAAACTTTGAAATAAATCAGAAATTCAGAAAATTTAGCTGATCCTGCAGCTTCCTCGAGTTCCAAACTTGAAGAAATATTTTATTTCAGCTTTTTGTAATAATATCTTTGCTAAAGTAAATAAACGAAGTATGATGGTGAATAAAAAACATCGGATGTGACTGATTCGTCTAAAAACAATGAGATGAAACAGGAGTAACTATTTTGTAAATTATAAATAAATTCCGATTAGAAAAGAAATTGATAATACAATAAATAACTGGCTTCTAGATCAAATAATATGCTTTTGGATCAAGATAACTTTTTCTATGTAATAAAAAGTGAAGCGGTTCAAATACGTAGATAGTTACTTATCTTCATTTATTAAATTTGGTTCCTGGTTTGTAATAAGTTGTTAATATTGCTAAATTGTTGATTGATGTAAATTGAAGCAGCTGCATAATAATTCAGATAATGAATTGTGTGCAAGTACTCAACACGGATGTTTTCTTGTGGCAAAATTATCTCTTCTCTGTTAAGTCTTTCTGTATACTCACTTTTTTATCTATCTATGTGTGTATGTATAGATATGTATGTATTTATGAATACCTATCCTATCCTGGCCTGATTCTTCCTACAGGCTGGGTTGGGTTCCAAGGATGTAAAAGGCGTGTCAAGGCATAGGAGGGGGAGGTGCATTCCAGATTGGTAAACTTTTTACGGCTGATTCATCGAGTAAGCGTCTAGTTATGTAATGTTTACATTCTTGTCATTTCGTAGAATTTCTAACTTTTTCTCGTATTCTGCTGATAGTATTATTTTTTTTTACAAATTATTTAATTTTTTATTATTTTATTATATCATATAAGGTCTCTTAGTACTGGGTATAACTGAGTTATTTAATATTTTATTATTTACCAAGTTTAAATTGGTGAATTTCTGGTTTGTTGTGTTGTGCATGGCGTTTAGATGTCCGTGTCAAGTCCTGAGAACTGCTGAACTCTGAAAACAGGGTTGTATGTTCCTCCCTTAAAAACTTTCACAGCTTACATAGTATCCTAATTTAGTCAACCATAAGCTGTCCTTAAAAATTTTTTTTTTGAGATTTTGGTCGGAAAAGTTGATGGTTTTAAACCAAAGGTTACCAGGTTTCAGCTTCAAGGATATTTTAAATCTTTCACCTCGTAGCACAATCATTGTCAAGAGTTTGGAGGAGGGAGAGGGCGGGGGATTCAGAAAGATGAGATTGGGGTTTAAATACGGTAATTAGATGGATGAAATAGGGAATAAAATTTGTTTAACAGAACGTATAATATGTATTTATCAAAAGTCAAAACAGAAGTTGGACTACAATTGGTTTGCATGTTAGAGAAATCAAAACTCGCATTTTTATCTACATCAAATCTGCTATCAGTAACACTCACTTTATTACAAAATGAATCATCACGATCAACAATCAAATCCTACTCATTTAACAAAATCAAAATATTGGAAAACTTGCCTTCAAGTTGTTTCTTACTCGCTTACTCTTACAAACATTCATTACATGTCATTATTACGAAACAACTCTACATATTTTCAGAATTATAGATAGATTCTTCATACGCATTGACCTTTTAACACATTAGAATATAGTAAATATACCAAATCTGTTACCCTGTTGTATTTAACAATATTCATTTAGCTAATTATCTAATTTTAGCAAGTGTAAGATCATCAGATTCAAATGAGGTAGTTTAATTTCGCTTAAAAATTGTTTTAAGGCAAGGGAAAATTTGGCAGGCGTAATAGAATATGCAGCATATTTTCAAATAGGTTGAGGCACATTCGGAATTGCCTTTAATATGACATCTTATAAAACTGAATTTGTGTTTTAATTATTTAATTTGAAAAAAAAAATAAGACAAAGAAGATTATTATTTCATAAAAGTAGACGATATTTCCGTTGTTAGTTTTTACGCGTCATTGCGTACATATTGCCTGGTATCTATTTTTCTGTGTTACGATTTCTAGAATCCTTGTTTTCTTGCCTACTTGTATTATTGTATCCTTGTAATTTTGTATCTTTAAATATAGGCGTTACTTTGTATCTGGTATTGTATTCCAGAAAGAGTAAATTGTATCCTTTTATTCTCTTACTAAACATACTTGCCTAGAGTGGAGCATCGCAATTATCCGTTTTTTAAACATTCAGAGGCCGAATTTAAAGAATTTGAGCCGCGGCTTAAATTTTAGACTCTGCTCAAATATGGTTGGTTCCACTTAAAATTGTATTCAAAGTTTCGAGATTTAAGCCGGCGCTCAATTGGCTGGCGAATTTGAGACGTGGCTCAGATTTATTAAATTCTGACTCAGGATGTTTAAAATTTCAGGAAACTACTTTAAAATTTAAGTATTTTAACAACTTTCAAAATCATATTCTATTAAAGTTTGCTTTTATTATAAATACATTTTGCATAATCTTGACTTGACAGAAAAAATAAGCCTGACAATTTTTCAAATCGGTCTTTTACAAACGATTTATTTTGCCTCGTTTAGGCTTATATCGTCTATCAAGAGTCAAAGTGTTGAATAATTGCAAACAAGAAAACTGATGGGAACTATGTAGATTTCTGTGAAGCTCCTTAAATCTAAAAATTCTAGTGTATAAAGCGAATAATACTTATGCCAAACCAAATACTTACCTATTACATTTGTAAAACTTACTTTTTTGTTTTTTTTTCAGGGGTGTCTGTTTATTATTGCTTACCAATATTCTTGTAATATATTCAGAAAAGGAATTTATAATCATATCCTTGTTTCAATTAGATTTTTGTGTTCTTGGGTACTTTGTTCCATAAAAAAATGTTTTTTGTGCATCTTAAATCTAAAATTTAAAGTCTGATTTTGTTTATTTATGTCCGCCTTGTTCATCATTTTCAATTGACAAAAAGGAATTCAATGCAGGGGAAAAGGGGGTGGACGTGGATTTTTTTTTACAGTCTTATTTATATGAAATTCTGAACGTCCGTTATTTTAAAAAAATTTGTTCCTGAAAGTTAAAAAATTCATTTTGATTTTTATCTAAACATCAGTTTGCGCAAGTGTATGTATCAGCCGTTAGGGATCTACATTACTTTCTCAGTTGTTAAAACTATCTATCTATGGGTGTATTTGATTATCCGGCTATCTATCGATTCTCGTCTCCCCGTCTGTGTTTGTAAATATCCCCTTTAGTGTCTTATACTCTGTACTCTGTATGTATATCTGACGCATTCCTAAGATCAATATATTCAATACTAAACTAAGTAAATATGTTGACATTACACTACATTTAGACGATGTTACAAGAAGACAATATAACATTACATGGTATACGATACTCTTTATATAATAACGCTGTTCGCTCATATATATTAATACATATGTTTGCTATAGCTGACTAAACGGCTTGCCCAAATTGCCAATTTTTTTAGGGAACCCATGAGTACCTCGAAGGTGACATAGGTTAAAATCTACAGTTTCCAGTAGGGTTTCAGACCCCAAATGGTGCTGAGCCCCCTCGAAAGTAAAAAATATAAGCCCATGCACTTGCCACTTGACAAACTTCTGAGTATGACCCAAACAACATACACTTACAGGGTTACCCACTTTGGATTAGACTTTAAGAGACGTCTGTACGGAGGTTATGGTATCACTTTTCTCACATTCACGTTTATCTACAACTGACAACTGTAAACTTTTTTTAAATTTTAAATAAGCCATACAAATACCGTATTCAAGGCAAATACTTCATTTAACCTGTTATGTTATATGAGTTTCAGGTCGTCTTTCAGTCTCATATTTTGTGGGTAACCCTGTATTACACCACATTCAGACATTACTACCAGAAAACCGGAAAGACGGACACTAAAGCAATTTTTAATCTATTTGATATTTTTTCACTAGTCGCCTAAGCATCATTTTACAAGATTTAATGGTCTCTGCACACTGCACATTTTCTGTTTCTCGTGTTCATTGTACATATGAGAATCATAATTTAAAGAAAACTTAAGGTTTTACATATTTAACTTACAGAATTTCTCTGTATGTCGAGGAGAGGGGGATACAATTATGAATTCCCCTTATATATCGATATTTGCGGGCGTAGGACCCATAGGACGCCAACATTAACTCTCCAGTAAAACATGTGTTGGGTTAAATTCCCCTGGCTAATTCCATCATATCCAGCTAAATTTCATTTCGTGGAGATATTTTATTCAGTGGATTTAATAAGCTTAACTGAACTTTATCCAATCACAATAACATATAATTTCCCTTCTTTTCTCTCCACCATTAACCTATATTTTATTCTTTCTTATGGCATTTAATTACGAGTTGAATGAGGGAACGTCAACATTTTTATCCTCACTTGATTTGCCTTGCCTGTCTGAAGTATAAAAGACGAAAATGAACTAATTTGCTTCAGAGTTATGTTGATAAAAATTACATCTGCACTAAGAAATAATATTTTACTAGTTAAAGAAAAAAACTAGTTTTTTCAAAAGCTGAGTGGTTTTATTTCAATAAAGCCAGGATTTTACACTTCACACAACGGCAAATATTTATAATAAAATAACAACTGATTAGTGGAAACTTATATCATCTAGTTAAAAAAGTAATAGTAAAATAAAGGAATATACCTTTGGTTAAGGCTAACCAGGATAAATGAATGAAATCAGAGGGGAAAATTTTGAATTCATCTTATTCCTTTATAACACCTATTGACGTTAAGATTAAGCCACATGTTTTTACACGAATATCATAATTTTAACATTCATTTAATATCTCGTTACGTTTTGTGTGGGTTTTAGATTATTATTAATTTAGTTGTAAACCCACGTAAGATGTTTTTATTTCTTTAGATAAGACATTGTTGACAATTTAATATTTTTTATTTTATTTCAGGCCTCGAGTCCTATTCAGCAGTTGGATTTGATAACTGACCTTTTGGGCACTCCTACGTTGGCTGACCTGAAGTACGCCTGCGACGCCGCGAAGCGGCACATGCTCAACCGCGGCGTGAAACCTCCCTCGGTTTCTGCCCTGTACTCCATGGGGCAGTGGGCGACACACGAAGCGATCCATTTAATGTGTCAGATGCTTACAATGGATCCAGATAAAAGGATCAGTGTAACCGAGGCGCTCAACCACCCATACCTAGACGAGGGTAGGCTAAGATACCATTCCTGTATGTGCGCATGCTGTCACTCAACCTCCTCTGGTATGCGCCAGTACACACGTGACTTCGAGCCAATATCGGAGGAACCCTTCGATGATGCCTGGGAGCTGGAGCTGACCAGCGTGAATAAAGTTAAACACAAGCTTCACAAGTTCATCCACGACCAGTTAAACTCCAACCGGGTCCCACTCTGTATCAATCCATCCTCTGCTGCATTTAAAAGCTTCGCCAGTTCAACCGTCGCCCATCCCTCCGAACTTCCACCCTCACCACATCACTGGGAGTAAATAGACCAACCCTTCTTCACCCATTATCTGGACCATGATGGGAATAAAAAATCCCCCAGAGAACAATGGAATTAACTAGTGTTAAATAATACTTGGAAGTTCAAAACTTTTACCAACATCTAGGTGTTGATTAATATATTAACGTACTATGAAAAGTTGACTAGTTGAGTAGTCTACCTACTCATACCAATTTAACCAAAAAATAAAATTCATCCAGAATAATGAACTCCATCAATACAGACAATAGAAATGGATATATCCAGCCCTCTATCTCGCCTTCTCCTGGCTCCATCTAATTTTCTCCTACCCTTGCCACCTTCTCTAAATTGTTTTCTTCTTCAAACCTCCCAAACAACTTGTATCAAGTCTTGGAGTAGGAGGCTTTGTATTCACGAGTAAAGCTCAAGATTAAATCTCCTGCTGGATATTTCCCGTAGAAAATAAGCTGAAATCAACTCCTGGACTCCTCAACAAAAACCGTAAAACTCGTATCTTTGGCTCTCAGAGGACCAAAAAGCTATTCGTAATTCAAAAAAATCTTTTTAAGTAGACCTTATAAACTCAAACATCTGGCCTTTATTCGCCTTCGTCGTCTTTTAAAAGAGAATAGTTGTCGACGATTTCAACTGTGGAATCCTAGACTAAAACTAAGTCTGACCAAGCCAAAAATAAGTCCCTAGACTAGTTTTTCCCATTTGGCCTCTCTATTTATATTTTTAATCATGTGAAATTTGAAGAGATTTGACAGTCTTGCATAGGATTAATTCTTGAATGCTTAAACATTAAGATATTCATTATTTTTGTTACATTATGTTTATTTAAACGCCGGGGATGATGATATGTAAAGTGTAACCCCCGCAAAGTTGAGACTAACCCCTGTACATATTGTAATCTTAATCATCACCCGTGTTTGCGCATGTGTGAATTTTTAAAAGACCAAAATGTAAAAAACGTATATTCAATCTGATAATCGTTGCTCATGGAGATATTGTAAAGCCCTCAAAAGCGCCCCCCTCTCCACCGCATACTGTAAATAGTGTACTCGTATATCTAGTAATTAATCCGTATTGTAAATTTTGTAAATTCTATCACATTATGTTAGAAATTTTGGCACACACAGTTCCTAAAAATTCTGTTATTTTCTGACCTTTTTCTCCTCTCCTCTGCCTCTTTTAGCCATATTTTGAAGGGCATTTTTTGCACAAAGACTGAAATTAGTTTGAGGTATTTTCTTATAACAGCTTAACTCAATTTTTCTTCTTATTGTTTTTGAGGGTTTTTATTCGCGCTATCCTGTCTTTCGATCTTTCGTTACACCCCTTAATCCTAGCCAATTTGTTTTGCAAGCGCAATTTCTGACTTAAGATTGGCGCGAAAACTCACTTTATTATTTTAGAAGGTTTATTGAAAGATCGAACTAGGATGATGGGTTGCAATATATTTGTGTACTAGTTTTATACTTTTAGTGGTAGATAAATTTAATTGGGTCCTATGTAATTTAGTGAAGTAAAAATTACGAAATTATTTCGTATTATATCGTACTAAATTCTCGTAGGTGACAACGAATCATTTAATACGTATGGAAAATGATTGAAATAAAATTGCAAGCAAGACTGTGTATACATTTAATGCATCATGTTTTTTTTGAGAGAGTACTTGAACAAGGATATTGGATATTTTATCCATAGTTTGTGAAGATTAAGCTGTTTGACTAACGTTGTGTATATTTTGTGGCACATGATTAATAATAACGAAAACTCTCTAGTGATGTACAAATGCTGAGCTGAAAACTTTAGAATTAAATCCAGATCGCCTAATCTGAATATTCAATGTGGACACTTTAAATTTCCTTCTTAATCCGTTATTTTCTCTCCCTGCCAGTTTCCGACCAATGAGAGTTCACTCATCGAAAGGTGCGCAAAATTTTAAATTTCCCGGCTTCTCTGATTGGCTGTACTTCTATCTCCATACCCAACTCGATTGGTTGAGTTATGTACAATTTTGTTAATACAAACTTAGGATTAAACTAGTCTGAAGATTAATAAAAAGAGAAGATCAATCATTGATCTTGATATCTATCATTCTGAAGTTTTCAGCTCTGATGATGAAATTGAGCCGATCAGTTAATTAATAGCAAGAGGAGAACAAGCATTATTTAACCCGGAGATTAAGAAAAAGAAGAGATCAAGCATTGATTTCGATTTCCTCCATTCTAAAGTTGTCAGCTCAGATTCAGCCGAGATAAGAGTAAAATGAAAGTTTAAAGAATTTTTCGATTAATTAAATTGGCATACTTTGTGACTTTTATACGGTGGTAAGCGATTTCAGCAATATAATGAAGACTGCTTTTTTATTCTGGTTCTAATTGTTAAAAAGCTTGTTTCGAATTACAAGATTACAGGTAATTAAAGAGAAGCTTTTTAAAATTGACAGCTTCTCGTTGTTTCTATATTTTTGTGTATACGAGGAAGACGAGCTTAATGAAAATTAAAATTGAAACCGTAAGTCGTCTTCATTATATTGATATATTCGCCTACCCCCTTAGATAGCCTTATAGATGAGAATTTTTGTAATCATAAATCATAATCATATTGCCAGCGTCTAGTTGGATAAGACTAAAAAGTTCTTGCAAAATAGTAGGTTAAGAGAATGCCTTTTGACCATCGTTCCGTTACACCAAAGGTGATTTTTGCTTTGGTCTTCTACAGATTATAACTGTAGCTACTGTTGCCTTATAATTAAACCCTGAAGTCTTAACATTAGTGTTGAGTCTCGGGATCAAGCATTAATCTCCATCTCATGCAGGTTCATCGGATTAATTTAATTCCTGTTCGATATCCCGTGATAGTCATACCAAGCATTGATCATAAAGTTTTCAATGTAAATGGTAGAGATGTCAACGATAGTGTAACGTAACGTAAAATGTACGTTTTTGTACGTTACGTTACAATAATGTGTAACGTTTGGATATATTCTATATAACGTGAACGTTAAACGTTAACGTTATAGGAGCTCATACCTAACGTTAACGTTAAACGTTAACGTTAGAGGAATATACCCCCAACGTTAGCGTTTTGTGGAAATGTAACGTTATTTTTCTAATATCTACAACTTTTTTGACCATAAAGTAAAGAAATGTTTTGTTTCCAAAGGGAGCTTGAACGTCT